GAGGCAATCAGGATTCTGAAAACAAAACCACCCTTTTGTCAAAGTAACAACAACTAAGAGCAGGTTCGAACGACCCTCTTAATGTGTACAGTTCGAGTGATGCACTTCAGATTCGTGAATCATGTTGTAGCATCATGTAGTGAGATTTATCGATCACTAACATCGTGATGTATAACGGCTGCAAGGATGGCGATCAGCACATACCATGTCGAATATATGGATCGAGTGAAGTTAGCAAGAGTAACAAAAATCGAAAAGGGTCAAGTTCGAAAGGAATCAAAGTGCCCGGTTGGTTTTAACAGAATCGTAAAAGACACAAATACAGTCAATCTTCTGCTATGTCGCACCCCTGAGAAGTCGCACTTTCCAATATCTTCCCACTTTTTCGAAAACCCAAACCAACAATATGCTCAATAACGTAGTTTCTGACTATGCAATGTCGCACCCTTCAATATGTCGCAGTTCCTGATACATACTCACTTTGTCGTTGACCGATGTTTGGGGCGACCATTGACCATCCACTCTGAAATGTCTCACTCAACCAATGGCATTGCACCTAATGTGACGCGTTCATGGTACTGAGCACTGCATGGATAATCCATGCGAGGAAGTCACACCGATGTAAGGGATCGGAGACAGTGTCATTTGACGTCAAAATGTGCCAGGGCCTATCGATCAAAGAGAAGCAGAATGTGTTGGAAATGCTGAAATAACCAGGTGCAATTGAGAGCTCCGTTGCCAAGCGCTTGGAATTTCACAAAAACTGTCTTCACCATTGTATCCCACCGAACGACTATCGTGCAGTTTTTGAACGCTTGAGCATCTGAGGGAAGATGCCACCTGAAAACCAACCAAAAGTTCAAGGCAGTGAATAAGTCAACGTTGGCTTGGTTTGCTGCCATGAGGGAAAAACACGGAGAGTTCCCAATGGCGGAGAGCATCGTAAGTAAGAAGGTAATCCAGCTAGCATAAAGATTGTATCATAATGACTTCCAAGCTTTCAAAGGTTAGTTTCGCTCTTGTTCAGACAGATATGGTATTCGATCGTACAAAGTAAGAAACAAGCAACTCATATGCCTTACTTTTTTGGCCCGTGGGGAAAGTTTAGCGCTCTCACGTGATGCAGGGTACGCGTTTCCAGGGGGGTTATCGCAGTTGATACATGGATGTGCTGAATGTGATATTTTTAATTTAGATGAAACAGCTTTGTATACAGGTAGCTCCCATAAAGAGCATTACGTCTGAATGGAAAGACAGTTTCTGGGTGAAAGAAATGCAAATAGAGGGTCGAGTTACTGCTTTGTGGGAGCATAACTGTAGAAACCTTATCATCGTTGGTGATTGGAAAATTTTCAAGCTCTACGGTGCCTCCGAGGTATAGGTAGAAAAACACTTTCCATGCAGTTATAAATCTTCAAAGAACGCATGAATGACTTCTACGTTACTTCACAGTTGGTCGTCCGAGGTCAACCGCAAAACGGTTTCTCAAAGATGTTCCATTTCACAATTTATGGTCAACGCCCCTTGCCATAAACAAGCCGCAGTATTCTCCAACGTCAAATTAGCTGCCTCCGAACTGCTCTTCAATGTTACAACCAATGGATCAGGGCGTGATCTGATCTTTTAAATGTTCGTTTCGGAAACATTTACTGGGACATTTTTTGTCTTTGATCGAAGATGAGCAACTTATCATGGAAGCCGAGGTGGACATTCTCATAGCCATGTATCTGATCAAGAAAGCTTGGGTGTCTGTGCACCCGCACGTACTGATCAACGCTTTCATGAGCGCTGGGTTCCAATCTACACTGATTAGGCCGGTAATGCAGCCACCAGAGAACAAAAGCTATTTGATTGAGGACTTTACTAATTGTGTCCATTGATGACCGTATTTTTAAGAAAAGATCGCCTGTTTGGAACTTGATGATGAAGAAGTGGGTTACTTAAAATTTCTGTATCCAGTCTATTTTTTAATCATTAGCTGAATTCGTTTCGAATCAAGCTAAGCATCGCAAAGAAGATGATTGTGAGGCAGTGAATGCGCCGGAAGTTATCTCAATCATAGGCACAAAAGTTATTTGATCAATTGAAGCTGCTTGCCTTGGCTAATGATCCGATTATTGGAGTTTATAATTGATTTAAACTGCGCGTTTGTTGATTCCCAAAGGAGAATTTAGCTGAGACAAACTACGATTGATGATTTTGCTGAAAATACATCGTTGTAATCTGCAAAGTTGTTTTGGAATTCTGTGGGGCACTCGAATGTGGTCATTTTTGCTACGGTGGTCACCAAAGCCACGGTCATTTGGTCTATCGATGGGCTCCGTCGTACTACCGTGCAAACGGGTGAGCGATAATCGCGATTGACTGGTAAGCGGGTGAGTGGAGTAAGATGTCAGATCCGAACGATCGATAAACACCGTCACGCGGACGCACTTGTGTGAATGAATGAACGATATTCTCACTTGTCCTAGATCACCGATGGAATTAGACAGGTCGCTTGCCAAAGGTCATCGTAACCCTGGTCAAAGGGCAGTTTGTGAGATGCACTTTTAGTTTATGAATCGTTACTTGCTGCAGAGTTGTAATTCCTGTAGTTGGCGTCTATGGCCTTCGATTGGCTGAACAGGAGTGAATTTCTTCTAAGTAAACTCCCGTTTCACACCTGCCAGAAAATTTGCGCGAGAACCCGCTCAAGATATATTGGGTATCTTAGGCGAATCAAAGTTGGGCCAGTGTCATCAACGCCTGAACTTTTTCATTTCACATGGCGGATCACCCTACAACTGATTCTGCACCAACATTTAAGCAGCATCCGATTCAGAACTTATCCTCCTCCGATTCCAGCCCGAAAATCACTTGATCGATCTGTCGGATAGGTAACCGCAATAAGAGACCTGGGGCTTGTCCACCTAACCCGAGCGAGGAACCACACCTTGTCTACAACCGCGAGACTTTAGCAGACCCAGTGAACTTCGGCTGTACAGCAAGCGTGCCTTCACCACACGGATGGATGGCACATGACAAGATCATCACAAAAAAGTACAAGACAATGCGAAACGATGGCGTAATCGGACAATCGTACCATCCACTTAGCAACATGACATCTTAAATTGATACTTAGTCTGACTCTCCCTGTCCGATGATCATCGTATGGAGTTGCTGAATCTTATTCGTATTGGTCCTCTGTCTCACCCTTGCATCGCACTGTCCGATATGTACAAGTGCGCTCTGACGTTATTCATTTATCGCTTGATCGTTTGACGGAGAGAGGTGAACTCCCTCGTTTGCACCTTGGTTCCCTATGGGCATTGTTTGCTTCGCTGGGGCAGGCATACGCCCTGGGAACTCCACGATTTGAGGTGTGTTGTTTGTGTAATTGAAACGCTTAATATTTACACTACCGCATCATTATTCGCTATTGTTGGAGCCGAATAAACCTCTAGAACATTTGGACTTGACTTCTGAGCCTGGGTGTTACTGAACGTTAGTCCAGATAGTCATTTGGATTTAACAGTATTTCTGCATATGACTTTGGAATTCGGACGTGCTTTTGCTGAATTGGAATACTTTTATGAACAAGCTACGTATATATCCACTAATCCGTATCGGAAAAGTGCGAAACTTACATACGAACTGTTAACAGACATCTCTAACACAATATCTCTGCCTGTTTAAGATCTGATCCTGAGAAAAAACGTCAAACCACCGTCGCGTTTATCACGAGGCAATAGTCCGTGTTCTGGGGTTTCGTGCTTACGTGCTCAGATCAACCAGGACGCAACTGTTCCATCTGAACCGCAGAATCCACACCTCGATCACACGAGTTGCGTGAAGTCCCAGATAATCGGTTTCGTAACAGTCATTTATTTAGTCCCACCTACTACTATTCAACTGTGGGTTTACATTATCGTTCTTGCCACTCCACCACTCCTTAGCACACTTTTGATTTGCCTCCCTCTCTTCGCTTTTTCCTGAGCTTTCTTTCTTCGTCCATACGCAAACAGACAAAGAACAACAAATTGCAGTTGTTTTTGGTCAATCTGTCTACGTGTGAAGTTAGACAGTTGGACAGAAAACAATGTTCAAAGGATCGGTTTATCAACAGTCACTTGCCCAAGATGGAATCAGCATGGCAAACTAGACACGAGTGAGATCGAAAAATTATGGTTTGATTTTGACACAGATACTTTCAGTCTACTTTTTAATTTAGATCAATGTATCAGACAGAGTTGCTTGAGTAGGGTTCCTTTGAAAGAGTGAGTTATTTTGCCTGAAATACAGTTAACACAGCAATCCTATTGATTGCATGCAGTTACTTTCTCATGGCTGAATTGATCCATCTGTAATTTGGCATAATAAACCGCGGTTTTCTTTTCACACGATGTCCACCAGTACCGCCCTGACACATTTTCCAGTCTGTTTTCAAAATCTTTCTTTTTAACTTCCAAAAGAACATGTATATATGATATTCTTACAATACTTCATTCGCAATACATAGGGCATTATACGTGTGCATATGTGCGTGCAAATGTGTGTGCACGGACAAGTCATAAATTGATAAAATACTTACAGATACGAGAAAGTACATGTTTATAAATCCGTTTGGAGGCAAAAACAAAGAAAATGGAAACCCGAGAGAATAACAATAGTCGATATATGATGAAAACACACAATTGAATGATTTGTACAGATCGAAAACAATAGAAGAGAGGAAGGAAATTAAACCAAATTCGGACTTGAGGTGAGCGGACAAACAGTTGAATAAAGCCTCGCGAGAGTGGCAAACAAAATCTCTTTGATTCTGATCAGGAACACTGTAGTTCGAGTAATAATGAGAATACAAGATTTGTACGTTTTATGTTCTTGTGACTTGTGCCCCTTCATTATTGCGTGCCCCTATGTCTCTCTCTCTCTCTCTCTGTACTTCTCCCTCCCACTCTCGCTCCATCTCTTGATGACTCACTCTGGTTCGCATTCAAAAACCTCCACACAATTTATAATTACCGCATAGTACGGTACACGCTGAACGATGCACTTGGTATTCGACGCACACCCAGGTCTCCTTTCCTCGATGGTGATGATGATGAGGCGGAGAACGAAGAAGCCGGAGACAAAAGAGAAACTCGTCGAGTTCGAGGTGATATGTTTTGGCGAATAATTTGACTCGGTTCACTCCCTGTTGGAGGGACCTTTCGGCGCAGCCTTCGGAATGAGATAGTTCCGTCCATCCTGTGCATATTTGTAACCACGGCAGGCTCGTTGTATGTCGTTCGATCGTAAGGACGGGATTCCGTGTTTCGATTGGCCATCACAATCCCCTTCTGACCTCGGCCACGGAAAATCAGGTGAGGTGCATGCTGTGCTCGACCCTCAGCCATACAGTGGCGTCCGTCGAGCATCAAACGATAACCCGGTTTGCAAACACACTCAAAACTGCCTGGTGTGTTTCGACACTCACCGAAATCGGGATCGCAAGGTTTCAGTCGGGCACACTCGTCCACATCCTGGCTGCAATCGACGCCCTCGTAACCACGGAGACATTCACATTGACCGCTTTCACGACACACTCCGCCATTCTGACAAGGTGGATTGCACACTGACTGCTCAGGGGAACGCTGACGTGAACACAGAAAAAGATGCAACCCGTTTGGAGAAAAGGGGATAAGAAAATCGAAATCGAGTATGAATCAGATAATTGAATCGGTTTTTCATTCATTTTATAAAGTTCGGACGAATCTCATCTTCCATAGAATAATGCCCGAATCTTTTCCGTGTCTAGATACAAGTTGGTTAGATTGAGCATTGGATACCAAACTGACGATCAAGTCAATCTAAATCTATCGCTTCGGTTGACTCAAAATCAGAAACTTCATATGTTAATTGAAATGATATGAAAGCAGACAGAGCTAACGACGGTTTGCACCAATAGGGTCACTAGAACTATGATCTCACTTTCTGTCAATCTATGCGCAAAACGCATGTTAAGTCATTGCATAATTAGTCAGATTCGATTCTCGGATGCGGTCATCCGTGTTTGATTAAAAGCCTGTTTGGTTGTAAATCTTATTAGAACTCTCTTGTTACAAGCGCTTTTCTTACAGCAAATCCCACCAAGGCAACTGAACTTTCCACAGTCGACATACAAACTTAAAATCTGCCAAACATTAATTTGAACAATTAACCTTGTCTTAGAAGCTCATTCGGTGGACTCCGGTGAATTCGAAGGAAAATCTGTCGAGGCACTCAGCTTATATGCCATCCGGTGCATACGATACACCTCTGTAATTTGGATGCTTAAATTTGAATGTGAAAAGATCAGTGCTATCGGTGTGGCCTCGCAGCTCAGCTGGTAGAGCGTGCGCTTACAACGAGTAGGAGGCGTCCATGCGTGGGTTCGAATCTCACCGCGGCTACTGAGCTTTTCACAATCGACATACAAACTTAAAATCTGCAAAGCAACAATTGTAAAATCCTGAAGTGCTATCTTTGTATCATGGACATGAGCGTTGATAAATTGGTGCACATCGATTAAGCACAAATAACTGGTTTAAGATAGAATGAAATCATTTAGGTTATGGTGTAAAATGGAAGCAGCTATGAAAAGACCAATCTGAGAAGCCTGTATAAAACATCTAGTTAGTCTTATGATACTATGTCTGGGTGAAGAACAATTCCATCCTGTGATTGCAATGTCTAGAGAAATGTGTCCTTAAACAAACAGATCTCTCATCTGATATCTGGAATTCAACAGCAGTAACAACAGCACCAGTAATAATAGTGCTTTCAGGAATAATAGTATCACTATTTTTTTTAGAAATAAAACATCAATAATTCTTTTTATTCGATTTGGGATCTCAACTCCAATGCTTGTTGTTAAAGTCCCGTCAGGGATCCGACTGAGTATTCCCTGTTGGGCGGTCCGAACAAGGACGAAGCCGTTGTTCAGCACATCTTGTCGGAAATTAAACACATGATGTAAACTCGTAGTTTCAAATAGATTTACTGAACAATAAACGGATTAATCAAAAGTTGTAACGTGTTATGCTGAGGTAAGTAATTTGGATGAAGACATTCTGATTCCCATGCCACAACCAACTTGATTTGCTTGGATGATCTACAAAACGGATTCATCACTATCACTGTGTGTTACGTGAGTGATTACAATTAAGTGGAAACCGCTTATTTTACACTAGATTACTCAACACTTTCCGTAAAGGGAAATAATGTACTGCCGATATGTTAAATTCCAGCTGAAGCTGCATAACAGAAAATGATGGGCTACACTCCAGCTAATCTTGCATGAGCAGGAAGCAAACATGGATGATGATGATGCTGTGTGCGTGTTTGGTAATATATGATAGCCGCAGCGTACCACAAGTGCCTTCAAACAGTAATACAGTCTGAATTATCTGAACTTGTTACTAAATCTAGAGCAATGCCGATTCTGCGCAAGGCTCTATAAAATTCCCCAGTCATACCACGACCAGTGACAGCATTGAACGGAACGTGTAGAACGCAATTACAAGTACTAAAGCAAACTGTTGAAAAAATACCGGCGAGTTAAAACATTTTCAAATAATGTGTTTAGATCATACGCGTTATTTGCAAGTGTCCACTGCACTTTCGGAGTCTCTAAGACAGCAAATAAACGCATAACTGTGTGATTTATTCCAAGGCGAATCCATTCATTATGTGACGAATTTTCCTTGACTGAGTTATAAAGGAAAACACATGACTTCAACTTTTGCAATCTCAGCGGTAAGTAAGCCGTATAAGTTATCATCTTGTTTTGGCAACCTTGATATTTTTGAACCCCACCGCCGTCAGTCCTCCAAAGGCTACAAACGCCGTTCCAAAAATGATTGTATGCAACCATATGCTACAAGATTATACTAAAGTTATCCTGCGTTGTTTCATGAAGCTAATATCACTGCAATTTACCGAATATGACATAGGCCGGTTTATTAGTGACACGTAAGGTTTAAATGGTTTATTTCTCTTAACAAAGCTTTTATTGTCATGGAATATATCGAAGTATATCACCACCTACCGTGTTCTTTACGACCTACTCTAACATCTAATTTGATAGATTGGAATACGGCAGGGACAACAGAATATTCGATAATTTTTGCTGTTGTTTTGCACAAGATAAACCAATCACACTTTGGAATGTTATTAGGATGGTGTTACAGTTCAGGAGTAGTGATACAGACACTCTATCTACGCTGATCAGTCTGGACAGGTGAAAAATGTCAAAGCTCTCAGAGTTTCAATCAATCGGTTTCGCGGTCACATGTAATCAGTAAATCTCTATCCACAGATCTATATTGTTGAACATGCACGCCTCTGACAGGTGTGCAAGTTTAGTTTCATTTTAAAACAAAAAATACCTTGGCATCAAAAACAAGGCTAGAGTTTTTCAACTTCATTGAAGTTGAAAGCGAGAATAGGGAACGTTTTTAGTTCATAGTTCGGATGCACCCGTTACAATTGAAATTGCATTGGAATTGCCCTTTCTGTTTGCTATCTGATCTATATTTTATTGCAGTGTTTATCACAAAAGACAACAACAACAAAGAAAGCAATCGTTTTGATCTATCTGTATCTGGAACGTAAAGGTCTCTGCAATCGCAATGCGCGCGCACACGTGCACACATAAATACCGAAAAACAGAGGGAAATCAGACCTGTTTGCCAGGTCCTATAGTTTAACCCGTTTGTTGCCCTCTACAACATTTTTAGATTGAATTCGCGCCTCCGATCGATGGGTGCTATAGGACGAATAGTTCTCTATAACGAAATTAGGATCCGGTTGAGAAGTTGTCCATCAAAGAGTCTGCCACTACCCCAGGATATTGTTAGTGACAGACGGGAATCAAAAATGTGCCGTGAACAGAAATCTCGATTGAATCAGGTGCGTGATACTTTTAGACTGAATCTTTCTCAGCCGAGATTCAAGGCGAAATGTGTTTGATAAATGTGAAATGTCGAGTAGTCTTGAAACGAATCACGCAGTCGTACGCTAGTTCTTAGACTCTTTTATGATAGGAGACCTGCTTAAACAGTAATATAATCATGTTCTTCACCTAATAGAGGTATTAGAATAATCCCTAGGGCTAGTTTTGATTTCTTGCCATGTCATCTGATTATTTTCTATGTGGACTGTGACCATAAAAGCACGCGTTTGTAAACGGGGTGCAACGGAACCTTGAAATCTTCATATCGCAACCGCCCACCGTTACCCAACTTTGAAGGTAGCGAGGTTTGATACAGCTGGGGTTGACTCCCTAAATCAAATTTAGGCATTTTGTATTTCCTCCAGAGGTGTATTCTCTATTCATTTGACTTGATGCGGTGCTTCTAAGAGATGTGACAAATGAATGGGTATCCTGGATATCCATTCCAAGATATTTTAATGGTAATATGTAAAAGAACGCATTCCGGGGAGTACGTGCATTCAGTTTGCATATCCTGTGGGTGGCATTAGTAGCCTCTATCCTTTTTGCCCTTCTCTAAACAGATCAAAATTGGTTGTTCATTTGATACGTATGTGAATAGTGGATCAATCAGTATTTGCATCCACAGGTGCGGCGACTAAGTGCAACTGCGAACTGTAAATCAAGATAGATAAGTTTTGCAAATAAAGGATCAAACCATCGCTGTCCGAGGTGGGTGCAGAGGTCGGGGGTGGGGTGGGATGGGGTAATGGGGTGGTGAACCGATGTGGACAAGAGTGTACGACAGAAGCTGTTGTCAGCTGTCAGGTCGAATTTGATTCACATGCAAACCGACACGGGAATAAGCGACGTCATACTTAGTCGAGGGGATCAGAACATGATGCTGATCAAAATACACTAGATGCAATTAACCACAGTTAGAGGAATAAGAGAAAAACTCGCCGGCATCTATGTCCAACTTTGTTGATCCGGTTCTCTGAACTGAAATCGATCAAGGAAGGAAGCTGTGAGAATAAAGCTGACTATTCTCGACTGTACTTTTCGCCTCTATGAATATTATTTAAAAAAACAACTTTTATTAGAAAACTAGATCGGAAGTTAAATGATTATTTACTGCAGAAAAGATTGTATCCCTGTTTTGCATCTAAAAGTTGAAATGAATAAAATAAAGCCAAATTGAAAGACACAGTTTGAACCTGGAAGCCACATCGACCGCACCGATTTCTGCGCACCTGACCTATCACTCAACTCAAAAAAGTGTATAGACCGTTCAAAAACTATCCCAAGTTGAACATTCATTAAGGCATCTGTGTTTTGTCATGTCATTGTGGAGTTAATCAGTATTAGTCATACTCAGGGAACTGATATACGGTGATAACTATGCTCTTGAATAGGAGACGAAGCGTTGAATTATGACTCTGTTCACCTGTTTCATACTACGTGGCTAAATAACCGACCCCGTTGGGCTTTCATCAATTAGAGCGGAGTTTGGTAATACTTGATTAGAATTTCTCAAAATAAGCCCCTTTTCTAATCCAGGCAACTGTGAATGGAGTTCGACTGATAGCTTAACTGATAATTTGACTTCATTCATCCTGTATTACAGGAAGAATCGTGAAGGTACGAGGTGAGCAAAAACGATGAGCAGTAGCATAAACAAAGGAAACTGAACTGCATACAAGTCACCTGAGACAAAACTCTAAATTCCAATGAGATTGGGATCCCAGAAAGCAAACATTTCTTTCTTTTTGCAATGCACACAGCATCCACAATACCAATGAGTTTCAATCAATATTCGACCAGTTAGAGGAAAATGAGTAACAATCAACTGTCATAGTATGTTTTACTGAAGTTTCATCCGATCAAGATATTAGAAAAATAAATTTATTGAACAGTTCAGCCATTATTGATTGGCACCACTTTTACAAAGCCTTTGATGCTGTTTTTACCAAACACAAACTGACCGTTGTTTATATTCTAGGCAAACGATTTTTTTAGACCTCTATATCAGTTGATCTATGGTCTCCTCATTCCTCTTATGAGCAAGTTATATTTGTGAAGATTGTGAATAGTTTAGTCGTTAGAATTGCATATTGCTTGTCCACTGGAACACAACACATTGTATTTCACGATTTATATCTCCCGTTCACCAAAGCAGAAACAGGGCCTGTTCTCGTTCAAACAAGCACATGTACATAAACAGAACATCACTTACCACGCAAGTTCGTTTGTCTTCTAAACGTCGATATCCCGGCGGGCAGATGCATTCGTACGAACCGTGTGTGTTCACGCATTGAAAAGTGCATCCGTGTGATGCGGCCGGCAAACTACACTCATCCTGATCCAGTTCGCATCGAGCGCCCTGAAATCCGGACCTACACAGACATCGACCCCGAAAACATTGGCCACCGTTCTCACAGCCACCCGGACAGCCCATACTGGTCAGACACGAACGACCGTCTGGGGCTAGTTGATAACCAGAACGACATTCGCAACGGAATGTGCCGTCCTGATGGGTTCGAATAACGAGGTTATGAAGGGAGAGGTGGAGTGGAGTGGGATGGAGTGGATGCGTGAGGTCGCTGTTAAGGGCCAGATTTGAAGATCAGTGCGGTAATCAAACGTGAATGGCGTCAGTGCAAATAAATGACCGTAGCGGTAAAAATGAGTGACACATAACACAACCCATATGCTACAAGGCGCGCAATCGACAGCTTCTTCAACACGTACAGCGGGTGGATGTTTATGTGACGAAGCCCAGATAGATATCTGGAAGTAGCTCCAGCGTAAATGGATGGTTAACCGCGTCTGTCCGGTCGGTTAACGGTTGCTAAGAGGAATGTGTAATAGAACACTATGTCAATTCTCAGCCAGTTCCTTAGGTCAATAGTGAGCGGAAAGCCTTGGTCGGAAATGCAGACAACGCCGGAAAAGAGAATAGATTCACGTTTATCTGCAATCGAAGTGTATCCATCGACAACGAGTAATGAGCAACTGTTGGGCCTCAACTGGGATTTATTTATCAACAATACGCTTTCAGTCAAGTCCGGTATACCTGGGTCAGCCGAGATACTAAGTTTGACTGACGCGTTCAAAGCAGTATGAGGTTCAGTGAAACCAGGAAGCACGAGCGACAGACAGACAGACAGCATATAATGTTGGTGGCTTACACGAATTCATCGTCAATCGCTGAGTTTCATCAAGCAAACTTCTAAATATGGGGTAAATTTGTCGTTTGCGGTTTCAAGTTTATCCTTTGAGCACAACGGAAATTGGTCCAGGTAGACCAGCTCCTTTAACCGAAACGAAACCGTGCAGCTCTTTTATTGAGAAAAGCTAACTGATTGCGTTTGCCCAACATGAATAAACATTGTAAAGCTGTAGTGGTTTTAGTAATGGTAGTAGTAGCACGCAATGAACGCGGAATACGAATCACGGAGTACAAGCCAAGGAATACGAATCCCTGATTAGCAGTCACGGACGTCACTTAAGGACTGAACCACACTGGTACTTGCACCACAGTATCCCATCTAGGCGAGACGCGAGGCCACAGCAGTAGTAGTTCATTTATTGAAGGAAATAAGGGGGATTAAATAATATGTACAAAAAAAGTTCATTGGTCATCCGGGCATCTGCCAATCGCATTCTAGTATTTATNTTCTCATTGGTTGGTACGATCGACCTATGGTATGTAGTCCAGAAACTGTGGCACACATGCGCTTTGCTGACGTCACCCGTGAAGCTTGATTGATCGCAGTTGTCCTAAAACTGTAAAGTGTCGCTTCAGGGTATGCGTCATATCGCAGGCTGGGATCACCACAAAGGAATAAGCGAAAGCAGAAGAGAAACATGATGAAGGGCTGAAAATCATTGAGTGGAAACTAAATGACGACAGTTTACGGAATAGCTGAAAATCAGTTCTCTTTTTCGCGTCCGCTCGCATTCAAGGCACCGTCCCATGTGATAAGTCACAAAGAAGTAATTGACGTTAGTTCGGTTGCATACAGTTACTCGGACATGAAATTTTCCCGTAGGCCGCATATCTATCTGTGATTCATTTATCCCGTTCTCCGAATACGATTACCCGTTTCTGTGCAAATGATGAAGCTATTTTTCCCTTCGTATTTGCCCACCAAAAGGTTTTGCGCCCTCCTAGTGAATTCGGACATTCTCTGAATGTTATCAGTCTTCCATCCATAACTACGAGTGAGCGTGACGTATCCTTTTAGTATAACTGCCGTAACCGACCTCATGTTGATCGATTATCAATTCACCAATGTTGAAGCTGCATAACCTGATTTTTATGTTGCCCAACAAGTGGGGCACACGGACATAACTTAGTTGGTTTTGATCAGACCACCCAGTTTTGGTCACATGTTTGAAACGGTACATATCGATTCCAATCTCTCAGGCTTGTACCTTTTAGTGGTGGTATATTGAATACTTTCTCCTATAGGTCGAATTCAAATGGTTTTCATTCATAATGGAGTAATGCGCAATGAAAACAAGCGGGCGTATAACATACTCACTCTCACAGGCGATTATTGTCTCTGTGATGCTCGGCATGCAAGAAAGTGCGTTTCGTCCGTGCATGCGTCCTTGTGAGTGACAGATTCTTTCTGTTAAGTACGTCGACAATTTGGCGTGATATAAAACCACAAAAACCTGTTCCCAAACTGAATTCATTGTGCATAGCACAAATAATAAGATTGCAAAATGAGCTATTGAAATACGAGTATAATGCACACATGTGGTTACCGAACGGGAGATACTATTATTACTATTACTACTACTACTACTACTACTACTACTATTATTATCATTATTGATTTTATTGCTAATACTATTACTACACTATAGGATGCGTATTCCATAGCGGTAGTTAAACCGCATAAGACATACAGTATTTTAGGCTGAACCGTCTCAAACTTGTTGTCGGATTCACCTCAGTTTGCATGACCAGTGAAAGACGAAAACATATCTATCCCACAGGACGGAAGGGCATTTTAGTGTGCGAGATCGATCTGTGTATTATTACATATTTTATGGGACATGAAATAAAACATCATATCAACTCCGAACAAAGTTGAACCCGGTACGCTGTTTCAATTTGTATTTAAACTGCAGAGGCGGAATGCAAGATTTCTGTCAGGAAAGTTCAATGCATCCAAATTCTATATATAACTCTCTATTTTGTTTATATATTGGACATCTATGGACGTGGTCACTTCCAGCGTAAAACAATCTCCAGGTACACGGCGTCTCTCTTCAGGCAGTGTTTGTTACCGATAGGGACGGTCAATATATCAATGACTTCTCAGTGCCCAGTGGTTTATCAACAAAATTCTGGACCAAATTGACAAAAATTTGTACGCCGAAGATAGGTGTATCGTAAACGGCCTCCGGACAAGTGGATTAGAATCGGATTAAGTTAAATTAAGCGATCGTTTGAATTTATTTTTCCAACGAGATTTTCTTCGTGTTACCACGTTTGCTAGCGTGTTGTATAGAGCATTGCAACTCGCGAGGGATATCATGGGAATAAAAACTATGGGAAAAATCGATGTGTTTCAGTGCACTCAGAACTGGATTAAAATCTAACATTCATCTTTCGTTTCCTCAAAAAGCGATCCAATTAAAAAAGCGGCAACTGAATTCAAGTTTCGATCTGAAACAAATAAAAGTCATTCTGTATTTCAAATGGTTGACAGAACAGCTGCACCGATTCAGGTTGATCTTGGCGACCGTCTAGCGGATCCCAGCTGAAGATAGTTGGGCAATATCTGTGTCTTGGTGCCTCGTGTGCGTATCACAACTGTCGCAGCTGTTCACATTCGCTCATGGCAACATGTCTACTTTCGAGCTTTCCACCCGAATACGGTGGGTGGATTGCACAGCGATGCCGATGTGTGGCTATTCATCCTTATGAACACGTGACCTACCGTAAATTACCTTCGACTGTTACAGGAATTATGAAGTTCATGTTTGGCACCAATAAGAAATTGTCAAACAAAAAAACTTTAATCGTTTCTAGTGGTTTTGAGAAGTTTAGCGTTTTCTATCAGGCTCCATCAATAAAAGGTATGTAAAATACCTTAATCATTTAACTTTTACAGCCGTTTAGTTTGTGATAAAAGTGATATGCGTAATATCATTCGATGTGGATGTGAAGAAAACTGTCGGTGTCAGCCTCGATAGCTTGGCAGTTAGCACACCAGAGTCACTAACTTCTATGACTAGTCTTGGGTCATCATGGTGAATAAGCAGCGTTGACGAACAATTAGCCAATTGTACAGCGGCCCTGAAATGTTTTCGGTCGTTTGCCAGGTGCTTTTGGTTCTATTAAACCAATCAAATTTTGAAAATCCAATTCCGTCCCCCAAATTTTGTGCATTAGAGAAAACTTTATCCTTCATACGTGTGTTGTTTTATGGATTCAGCTTGTTCCAAATGGTTAGAATATTGAATTGACAATCAATCGTATACGAGTTGGAATCCCCTTGGTTTGGGTGGACAAGTGCTAATGGTGATTCTTAATAAGGATGAATAAACTGTACAATGCTACAAAAATTTGTCAATGATGAATGACATTTTCACTTTGCGTGGTTTATTCGCATGAGTTAACCACATCTCCCGGAACCTTTCACGTAGCACACTTAGCGTCGCTATAAAGGGCTTCAAAATCAAGATTTTAGCATTCTGGTTAACTAACCCTGCATTAGACTCGGGCCAACACCGGCATCTACCTTTAGTTGTCAATGCATTTCTCCGCTCGTTTATTATTACAAAATAAGGCACACCCCGAACCTATTTCCGAGAGAGGTCGTCCGATTGTGTTGGTATGATCGGGGCGAGTGAACAGGCAAGTCTATCACATGGAAACGATCAAAAGCTGGCATGTAGGAATCCCGTCAATATCACGCATTGGAGACCTTTATGTGTGTCCTAGCCCTATTGTTTAAATCAAAATCGAACACTGCTCCCATTCGACCATTAATTTCACGGCCACCTCTGCGAACTAATAGCTGATTGACTAGGACCCATAACTTTCATAAACATAAGAATACCAAAAGTGTCCAGCGAATAAGAACACGACGATTCNACGATTCGTCAGATAAACTTAACAAAAAGGATCAAACTGCGTCTTTGGTCCATAAGTAATTCATTTAACAAAGGGATCACGATATATTAAACGACTTGAAAAAGGCCTTCCAAGAGGGTCGAAACGTTGTCACCAACACCTTTGTGTTTTGGTTTTCATTCGTCGTGGCCAACACAAGCTAATTTCCTCAATAATCATGAGCACGACGCTCACGTTTTTCAGTGAGATCCGTTTCATCCATGGATCAGGATATATTCAGCTCACCGATTGACTGAATGGCAACCGATTGATCGACCCACCGACCGACTAACTGATTAACCGGTTGATTGACTGACTGACTGACTGACTGACTGACTGACTGACTGACTGACTGACTGACTGACCACATGACAGACAACGCTGTTATGCATGCATGCTATATGGGATCAAAGATTACCGACAAAATAATAAGGAGAATATAGAAAATAAGTGTATGGTCATTCTTCCAGTTCATGCCGCTGATAGATCGAAGTTTTCTTTCCTTCTATCAGCTGCCCTCTTTCTATTTTGTCTATTTGCTTTGCATTAGACCATCAGAAAAGCACATTAGATACATTTTGGTATTGGCAATTTTGACAGCCGTGACCATAAGTTCTGTTTTGTTTGTTTCAAATGGGATTCGAGTCGTGACCTTGAACGTCACTTCATGGAATTAATAGTGCAGGTATCAATTGCCTTCGCAATTCTCCATAACTGATTCAAGTGCAAACATTCACAACAAAGATTCTACCACTGATATAAGTGGCACGGTTTTGCATTGTTTTTCGGTTTGGTAGGATGAAATAACTTCCAAACAGCCAACTGAGACTAAATGCTTGGTCACATCTTTCCACAACTACAACGAAAAATGATTCCCCGGTCCACATATTTTTGTTAGTTCCATCATTTCCTATAAGAGGATTACCACTAAAAGATCTGTGCATCTATGGTCTCCGTTGCGATTTGAAATGTTGACTTTGCCAACCATAAATCTAGAGGTGCTGTGAACAAAAAGAATCAGTAAACAGCAAAACTGAGCGCACTTAATTGACCTAAATCATCAAGTACATATAAATTAGTTTATTGTCCCTCTCCCCTAAAAATGGTGGAATGTTAAATTTTGCACTCAAGCAATAGCCGACGAAATTGAACTAAAGAATTAGACCCCCTGCACAGTGCGCTCAAAAACGTTTGATTAATTCATTCAATCATTCACGGTCCATGACTGGTCAGAACCGATTGAATCCGTCGCCCAGTCAGCCTGAGCTTGTGAGGTGGTTAAACCAGATGCTTACGAAAGAAAATCTGGTAGTGACTAACTTTCAGGTAGAATGGGTGCTGTGTTGTACTATGCGATGTGTCTTCCAAAGTTTTCTGAATGATCTGTAGTGAAATTTAGAATGGATTAGTGAAAAATATTAATTTTGCCTAATTGAGATAATTAGCTTGTCTTAGCCACAACGAATGAAAACCAATTGAAGGGAGGCAAAGAAAGTGAACCTCTATGATCAACACACAGAGTACACAATATAACTCTGCACNACAAATACCGTTTCGGACATTCTTACTTGATAAGAAATGACAACAAGAACGCCACTGCTGTCGGTTAGTCGTTATATCCTTCAGTATCTCCAACCATCCGTTTGCAGAGTCTTTCGGACCGCAGCCTGAAAAACGGGAGACACCTATTCTACTTAAACCCTCCGTGCATTTCTTCATGCCTCGTTTCCACGTCATCTGTTGACCTCCACGCGGTTTCTTCCAACCTGGAGCCGAAACTGCAAATAAGGCGCGGTGCGCGAGACGATGGCTGGGCATGCGCAATACGTATCCTAAAAAGCGAAGTCGATTAATCTGAATTCGATGGGACAACGAATTCTCCATCGAATCATTACCAAATACACGACAACCAAGCTGTATCTTCATTCGATCTGAAAGGTGATTGGAAAATAGTCGACTATCGACAGTGAGGCAATGTTGGCAAAAGCGATGAGCCAAGGAAGCCTTCCTTGAAAGCTGAGTCAGTGCGTCTGCGTATCGGTGTACGTGAATGTGACACGTATGGGAGCGAAATCGATCAAAGTACTATGCGTGTAACGTGGTGTTACTTTGATCCAGCTGGGAGTGACCTCGTTAAAATTTCGTAGACTTGTATTGTGACCGTATTTGTTTTTCATGCTCTGTTTTCTAATAATAAAAATCTTAATCCAATGTCTTTTCCTTCTCAAAAATCGTCACATTCAGCCACGCCATATAATTGTTATACATTTCGCTTTATGGGAACGCTTCTCATGAAAGTTAGATTATGCCTATCATAAGAAGTTTAGTTCAATCGGAGGAGGTGCTGAGAACTTCGTGGCCCAAGCACGCTCTACAAGCTGGTGTACAAGGTATTTAGGTTTTACCCTTGCAACATGTCATCTTGACATTCCACTAAGTGATTCAAAGCCATCATCTTAAACCTGTGGAAAGCTTCTTCTATTGGGGTGAAGAACGAAACATAAGATTGCAGTCACTGGATTGGATGTTTGGGCATCACATTGGTCACATTAGCCAGGTGCGTTTTCGGCAATGTAGACAGCCTCAATATTTGGCTGATCTTTTCACAATTCATGTGAACACGTTTTATGAGAATCGTTCGGATGAAACCAATTCAATCACAGATGGCACTCGAACCCAGGATTGCACTAATTGAAATACATGCAAGGACAATAAGATTATTTCCCCTGTAATTAATCGATTGTTTCACGGTGGGTCTTTTTACAGTATAGCCGCATGTGGCGTGTTATTGCCCAAAATGAAAGAACGCTATGGAGAGGCCAAGTCTTTTTTGATGTGTAAATACAAAGTACGAAATAATGAGCACAAGCTAAACAGCCATGATCGAAGAGTAAAACATCACTAGCAAAGAAAAAATCATCCCGAGCTGCAATGTAGTGTTTCCCGACTGAATGATGAATTGAATGAAATGGTCAACTCGCGAGAAAACTAACTCCCAAAGTAGCGTTTTCAATAACAATCGAGAATGTTACCCGTTACTTCTCGCAAGTCACTTTAAGCGCAATGTTAATTAAAAAAATCATCGATTGGTGGTCGATGACGCCCGGAATCGCGTTCAACATAACCTGTTCGGCAAGTGAGGAGTCTTTCGTGCACACACACTCTCGCCAGATGGTCAGACAGGTATGGAGTACACAAAAATACTCAGAAAAATGAAATCGAAATAAAGCTGAATGAAAGGAAATCAATTCTTTGCACGTAAAGATAGAGAACATATTGAAATAACCAAAACATTTCAGTGGAACACATCATCGAACAACATTCGCAAGGAGAATTGAACCCTTCTAAGAATGCTGCTATTTTGCATGAACGAATATAATTTGATTAACTGATAAATTTTCGTGAAAAAAATAGGTTTGGGGATAAAAAGTAAATAGAAAATCCGTTAGGAAGCAAATCATGAGAAGAATGTGGGGTTAAGAATTCCAGTTCTCGAAAAATTGGTGAATTGCGGCAAGTGAGACTTTCTGCCTCTCTGTTTACGTTTATCGTAAGGCAGAAACCCGAGGCCAAAAATTATTTTTCCTGGTCGCCATCATAGAATTGCTCGGAAACATAACCCAGGTCAGTAAGATATTTCCTAGCAAGAAAAAAACATAAATTTACTTTAAAACGATCAGTGTAATTGACGATATTCCTCAGCTTTCGCTATTATGAATGCAATAAAATATCCTCCTCCCGATTTCGGGTGTTTCCGATAATCATTCAAATTCAAAAACGATTTCTCGTACATACACTTCGTGCCCCCTCTTCCTCCTCCAAAAAAGAACCTGGTTTGTTCCTCATCGATTCAAGGAAAACGACAGGTGTAAGCCGTCTGGTGTCTGGGTTGACTTGGCGCTCATTCGCTCGTATTTTAAGCCATGCGCTGACTAAGACATTCAGTATTTTTGCGGTTTAAACGCTACTGGAACATAAACTCGACCCGGCTGATTTAAATTAACTCCAAAATTACTTTTAAATCCCATAACATTTGTAGAGAGGCAAGATTCCAAATAAAATATCTGAACAGAGTTACGGCAAAGCTATTCATGGATAATGCTGAAAAACATTCTTAGTAAGATCTCAGTTATCAGTGAGTAAATCAGCTGTGGTATTTTTAGTACTTATGGTATTTATAGCAAACTCACTTCGTTTAGAGAACGCATATAAGGAATTGAACCAAGACATTTTAAGATTTATAGGTTTATGACAGATGCATCTACATGTATGTATTTATGTATGTATGTATGTATGTATGTATGTGTGTATGTATGTGTCTATATATGTGTGTATGTATGTATGTAGGTTGCTGTTTTGAGAGAAACGTAACAGATTACAAAATATGTAAAAGTAGTATCCATTTGTGTAGTGTAAAATACTAGATTGCTATGAAACTGATTGGACCCGAATACCAGCTTCCCATTAGTAATCTCAAAACTGTAACGTGTAGCGTCCTGGCTAACGATGGATCACCTGTTAGATCATCTGTTAGAACTGACGAAGCGAGGAACTGGAAGGCAATGACAATATCTACTACCGGAGTTTGATGAAGGTGTAGGGGGAGGGGGTCACTTCCTGAATCTTAAGTCTTTGCACAACTATACCTTTCTTGCTGTCTTTGTTGATGGAGATGTTGCTGGACTACGTCGAACTTGCGCGTTCCGGTGTCACCGAAGTTGGCTTTCCATTTCTTTGCACGCAGTAGTGAGTGGAAAAGGTGATGCGTTGTTAATGTTGTACATCTGTTTTTTTAAGTGGGCTCATTCCCCGATTTTTATAAACACCTTGCTCTTGAACAAAATTAGGTAATGCACATGCCTCCATAACCATCTGTTAGTTTCAGTGACACTCTTAAGACCAATGATCAATCGAGGGATAGCAAAAACGTCAACGATTGGCATCGATCTATTAGAAGCAGAACGTTTGTGTTGTAATGCCTAATTCAAGTCT